TAAAACAAGGAAGGTGCCTAGGATTTTGCCTGCTGTTCTGCTTATGCAGTAGTCAATTTCTTTTATTCTTCCTTCAGAATTGCACTTGTTTCTCCAAGGAGTTTATAGCCTTGCAGAGCCTGAGGTGTGATATACCTAGAGATCAACACTTACCAGAAAGGGGAAAGCTGTAAGCTGTAAGGACCAGGGATAAAATGTCAAAGCACTAAAGTCAGACACTGCTGAGTAGTTGGTACCTGGGGGTTTGGATCCTGTTTAGAGTAGCCTTGGGTAACAAAAGAGATATAAGGTCTTTCCACTTCCGGACTGGTGTCAGTCCAGCTTGGAAGATGACATTCTGTGCATTATTCATTCTATCATTTACTGCTCTGGATCAACCTCTTGTTTCTGTCTTACACAGCAAATTTGCAAAACACTTCCCAGACTAGCAGGTAGGAAGTGGTGATTGTTTTGTTGTCAATCTGTAACAGTGCTTCAAATTAGAGCTCTTTTTTTTTTTTCTCTCCATTTCCCAGAGAGAAAACATGAGTTAATAAAATCTGTCCTTGCAGCTAGCTAAGTACCGTGAGAGTCATGACCATGCCATAATCTCTGGTGAGCTTTGTTGCAATTTCATGAAGAATTTAAGTGCTTGTCTCCAAGTTTGTTTGATTTAGTCATACTCTGGAAAAAATGTCTATTGAAAAGAGCTACTGTCTGAATCAGGGCATTGGGGAATAGCCATGAGGTAAATCAGGGAGCAGGTTGCTGTACATGTATAGTTCTGGTTGCAGAACACGGCAGGAAAAATTTTTCCTTCTCTGGAACATATGAGAGCCCAGGCAGACATCAGGAAAATGTTAAATTAGAAAATGTTTTGGAGAAGTGACATACAGCAGCTCTGAAAGGCTGGTGAGTCCAGCAGCAAGTGTGCAGCCTCTCCAGAGTCTCTGCCAGAGAGGTAGGTTGGGGAACAGGCATGAGAACTCGTGTGTTTGCATCTCTGGAGAGGTCTGCTTGCTGAGGTCTCAGTGAACATGCCTGGTAGACACACAGAACATGCACAGTTTTACAGAATACAGCTGTCTGGGCTATGCATACCCTCTATAGTTTTCTTTCTGTTTTGTAAATACAAGAAACTTTTTGACAGGCTCTGTTTGATGGTCTGTGGGGGGCACCATGTCCTTGGTCAGATGTGTGCCATATGACTGGGTTGTTGTCGGTTACTCCCTAAAGAAGGAAGATGATGTCTGGCTTATTAGTAAAGGTTGGGACAAACACAGCTCTCTTTTCACAAGGCACAAGCCTGGGGCATTTGTTATCCCTGCACCAATCTGGACTGCTGCTTTTGTGTGTTCTGCTCTTTGGCTGCAATGATCCCTAGAGACGTGCTTAGCAGTGAAATCTCATAAAAACCTGCACAAGGCAGGTGTTAATTTTCAGAGGTTTTGACCCAATCTTGTCGGCATTTTGGCCAGAGGGCAACAAATGTTTCCTCAAGCCAGGTTTTTGCTGTTTCTGAAACACATTGGGCTCGATGAGGAAAAAAATAACTGGTTATGAAAAGCTGGAGGAAGTATGCAGCCGCTTCGCTTTGTATTTGGAGTAATTTTCTGGCTCAAAATATAAGAGAATATTTTAGTCATACCAGGAAGAAAAGAACAAGTCTAAGAATAAGACAGGGGCTTTGGCCAAATCATGTAAGAAATACTCAGTGACTGCAGAAACCAGTATCAGCTTTGGTTTGTGTAGAAAAATGGTGTTGTGTCTAATTCTGCTGAACTGGCAGGAGAAATATTAACTCTTTCTTTTGCTTTCTTTCTGCAGAGTGGTCTTAAAATCTCTTGATAGCTTTCACCTGAAAATTAAGCGAGTGCCTACAAATTGTCAGAAATGCCCATCTGTTCATCTTTGGTTGTTTGCCTTTGGTTCAGAGTGCCTTACACAACTTTAGAGAAGATAGGGTCTGTAGAAACAGTGAAAACTCCAGACTTGGAAATACTTAATCATATTTCTCTGAAGGGCACACTGAAGCTCGAGTTAGTGGTGAGGACCTCTCTTTGCTAGCTCAGTGTCAGTAGGATGAGGCCTAAGTGTTCTTTGTGTTAATATCTGTTGTATTGGTCTGAGAAACCTACCTTCTATGCACATTGTGGCCAAGAGTTGCTGCCTGTGTAGCATTAGCTTGAATTATACCATAATGTTTGATCTGCTTGTGTATGGTTCAGTTAAGCCATATTTCCACAGAGCTGAATATTAAGGATCTTCAAATAAGACTTCCAGATCCAAAAAGGAGCCAGTGGATGACAGGATGAAGAGTGGGATATGCTCATGTGAATTCAGCTGTGGCATATGCAGAAGACTAATTTCAACTCTTAAGTTTCCAAATTATTTTTGGTTTGGGTCAGCATTAAGGCTATCTAAATGTTACCGTTTCTGTTGAGCATCATGTCATAGCTATTATAGTATGTGATTTTCAGCCTTGTTCATACTTGATGTGCTACTTTTTGCTAATCATGTGCATCAACAGTTCTTCTACACGTTAACATATTTTGAGGCTGTGTAGGAGTTATGTGCCAGAGGGAGTAAATCTAGCTATGTATATAAGGTGAATTACAAATGCAGATTATGCGTGTGAGAATCAGGGCCATTCCATACCAAAATACTTCACTTGAGTTAACTGACCTATTTGAAGAGCTCCATTACCTTGGTAATACCAGGGGTTTATCCGTTGTATACATCAGCTCATGGAGGGCTGAAATAAGACATACTTATCCACTTGATATATGTAATTTCTTTAAAAAAAAAAAAAAAAAATCCATCCCAACTGTCTGAAACTGGGTTCAGTGTTGTTTTGTTTTGTTTTGTTTTGTTTTTGTTTTTTTTTAAAGTCAGGTTTCAGACCCTTTTCTTTGCAGGCTTGTATCAAAAACAGAACTGTTACCTTTGGTGTCAAACTTACTGGGCACCTTTTCTATGAATTGAAAGAGGAACAGTGTTAGTGGACAGCAGTCCCAGATAGTGATTTTCAAGCACAAAAGTTGCTTAACATTAATTTTCTGTTTTGCACTTAGAAACGGATCATGTTTTATGTTTAGGTGTGTGACTGGGAAAGCATTCAGGCATCTGTGAAGCTTAGGGACTTTGGATAGCTATTCTGGCAAATTTTCACAGATTGGCCCATACGGTGAAATATTAAAGTCTCCATTAAAGTTATTGACCAAAAGGTCTCATTGATTGTCAGGAATCAGACTGAACTTTGAATTTCAATGCAATAGTCCTGTGGCTTTTGCAAACTAAGTAAAATTCAGGTTCATTACCACCTGAGGAGCTAGAATGTACCTAAGTCAGTTAGAACCAGTGAGATGTATCCCGGAGTCCTGAAGGAATTGGCTGATGTAGTTGTCAAGCCACTCTCCATGGTATTCGTAAAGTCACTGTAGTCATGAATTCACCATTGTATTGGTGAAGTCCCAGGTAACTGGAAGAAGGGAAACATGGTACCCATCTTTTAAAAGGGTGGAAAGGAGAACCCTGGCAACCAGGAACCTCCCAACCTCACTGCCTGGATGGGAATATCATGGAGCAGATCCTCCTAGAAGCTGTGCTCTGGCACATGGAGAACAGGGATTCAAGACAGCCAGCACTGCTTCATCAAGGGCAAATCCTGTCTGACCAACCCAGTGGCCTTGAATGATGGAGTGACCATGTTAGTGGACAAGGGAATGGCTACACATGTCATTTATCTGAACTTCTATAAAGCCTTAGACCGAGTTCCTCACAACATGCCTGTCTCTTAATTGCAGAGAGATGGATTTTATGCATGGACTGTTAGACAGCTAAGAAAGTAGTTGGATGGTCACATCCAGAAGGTAATGGTCAATGGTACAATGTCATTGATCAGGGATCAGTACTATTTAATATCTTCATTAATGACATGGATGAAGGGATCAGATGCACCCTTGGGATATCTGCAGGTGAAACTCAGCTGAAGGATGAGATGGTGTCCAGAGTAACCTGGCTAAAATAAAAAAGTAGGTGCATGGGAATCTCAAGAGGTTTAACAAGACCAAGTTCAGGGTGCTGCACCTGGGTCAGACCAACCCTTGGGTGTCAGCACAGGCTGGGGATGAGCAGATGGAGAGCAGCCCTGTGAGAAGGACTTGGGGGTGCTGTGGGTGAGAGGCTGGACATGACCCAGCTATGGGCTCTCCAGAAAGCCAAAGGTGTCCTGGGCTGCATCCAGAGCAGCGTGGGCAGCAGGGACGGGAGGGGATTCTGCCCCTCTGCTCTGCTCTGGTGTCCCAGCACAGGGACAGGACATGGAACTGCTGGAGTGAGTCCAGAACAGGGACACCAAGGTGATTAGGTGGATGGACCACATTTCCTATGGAGACAGGTTGAAAGAACTGGGTTTTTTCAGCCTGGAAAAGAGAAGGTGTAAAAGCAATCTAAATGTGGCCTTCCAGATCCTGAAGGCAGCCTACAGGTAGTTTTTACAAATGCATATAAGGAAAGGGCAAGGGGCCATGGCTTCAAACTGAAAGAGAATAGCTTTAGAGTATATGTTAGGAAGAAATTCTTTACTGTGAGGGTGGTGAGCACTGGAACAGGTTGCCCTCAGAAGCTGTACATGACCATCACTGGAAGTATTCTGGGGCTCTGAGTAACCTGGTCTAGTGAAAGGTGTTTCTACCCATGGCAGGAGTGTTGGACCTAGATAGTCTTTAAGGTCCCTTCCATGGGTATTTCATGATTCTATGTTCTTAAAAAGGCACAAATTACAAACCCCAAAATATTGCTTGGGAAAAATGACTGTAATCTCAAAACACACATTCAGTATTTTTTTCTTAGGTGGAATTTCTGGCTGAAGATTTTCACATTACCATTAGCAGATACAGGACTTTCTTGATCAGAGACTGCCTGCTTGCTGATATTAGCTGGGTATCTTTCCTTAGCATATTAATGTATGTGTAGGAGGGGTCTAACAATAATTCCATCTCATTTCTTTCCCTTTGTAGGCCCTCTACAATTCAATCAAGAATGAGAAGTTGGAATGGGCAGTGTAAGTATACTTCTGTTGTAGAAATTAGAAGTTTAACAGTAGTACCTGTGTAGTAATCTGTTTGTACGTCCTGTGTCATCGTCTGTGTGGGCTCCAAAACCTGTAGAAGATAGCCAACGTACATAATGAGTTTGCTTTCTTGCTAATGAATGACCTGGCAATACAGCATCATCTGTTTCTCCAGCAAGGGGAGTTGTTAATAATAGGAGCCAACTGCATTTGTAAGGAAAGAGGACATTTCATTTAGTAGGAAACTTCAGCCTGAAAAGAGAGAAATTAAATCCTCTGTTGTTCTATGGCTGCATAAATAAAACAGAAGTTGACGTCTCCCTTTATCTTTCTGTTCATTGTGTCAGAACTGCTGAATAGAAACACACTTCTTGGATTGAGTTTCCTGCTGTTGGTTTATTGTCTTGGTTTATCTCCTGATTAACTATGCATAACTTGACAACAACCTAATGTGAAAGATGATAAATGGACAAAGTCTGATATCACTCCCTCCAATCCTTAGTTGCTTTTGACAGGATAACACTTGTTAACTATGTAAATGCTGCAGACAAGAAAAAGCTTCAGTTTCTGATTGTGTTAAACTGACATTTCTCTGTGCTTAGGTTTCATGTGGTCTAGTTATGCCAGGAAGGTGCAGAAGTGTCTACTCTTTATTTTGCCACTTGCAGAACAGTGGATTTTGGTATAAAATAGGAAAATGATGTCTTATATATGTTTCAGCTATACAATGGTATTTCCCTACACATATTTACATATCTGAAACCTCACCTTCTTGGGAACAGCGTATGTCTGGAATGCATGTTCCTGCACCTCTTGTTCTAGAGTTTCTAGCAACTGCCATAGGTCTTGTAGGCCCAGTGGCTTCTGATCTTCATTGTTTTTAGTTCATGATCTGCAAACAAATTTCTTGTTAGGGTGTTTAGTCTCACAAGGGCAGCTGGTTCCAAGTGGGATTGCTGCCCCAGTTTAGAAATGTGTTAGGTGGTGTCAGAGTAGTAAAGAAGGTGTGCTTTTAATGAGAATCAGCAAGAAGTGCCATCTCTGATGAGCATTAAAAGTCATGGTGGGAGACATTTTCACAGACTGTGTCTTGGACCTGGAACATGCTGTGTGAATCTTACATGTCACACTGAAGCTGTTTGCCAGACACTGTCACAGGTACTTTAGAACCAGCAGAATCCATTATGTGACTTTCTCAATGTCAGAATTTTTGTCCAGCTCTTGCCAAGAAACTATACCGTGTCTAATACACTTGGGCAGCCTCCAGGTGGGAACTGGCTCATGACTGGCTCTGCTCCCATGAACCTCAGTCAAGGTGATTTATGAGATCTTGCTCCTGTATAGGTGGTAACTGCTTTGATATTTACATAGTCTAGTCCATGTCCTTTGGGGGAAAATTCCAAGCAGGCTGAAGAGGGATAATTCAGACTCTTTCTTAAATAAAGCTTTGAGTGGATATAAAGCTACTTTCTTACAGGAAAATGCTCAGAATGCCAGTTGTCTGCTCCAATCTGAGATTGACACATAGCTAGGACTAATGTTACAATTAATTTCCATGATGAAAAACAAAGCTCGTTTTGGGCATTGTCAGTACCTTTAGAGCTGAGAGTACTGGCTGGAAGAGGAAGTGTGAAGATGTTTCTCTTCATTTTTATAGAGATGTGTTGTTGGCGTAAAATAATAACCCCAAGAAGCCCTGGGACTGCCTGAGCTTGAGGGAGGAGGCACATATATCTCTTGCTCTGCTGTTGTGATCTGCAAAGAAAGCTGAATAGGAAGGAAGCATAGTCAGTTTTGTTCTGGTGGGACCAAAGAAAATCCTGTCTCCCTTCCAAAGATTATTCCTTTGCTTCCATAGTGCACTTGGCAGGCTAAGAAGAAGGAGGTGAGGCAAAGGTGAAGATAGGTCTGCAAACCCCAGTATAAGCTCTCCTGCAATGCTGGCATTTCGAAGGAATGCCTTTCCTCCAGCCAGAAATCCTTTGAGGATCCTTTGCTCATCAGCTAAGCAAAGGTTTAAGAGCTACTCTGGAAGTACATTATTTAGTGGATTAATGGCTATCAGTAAGTCCATAGGCAGGAAAGGGTAATGGTGAAACATAAGATGGGGAAGGACTGCTATCCAATCCTTATCTTACTAGCTGTGAGCTAGGTGTGTTATCATCTTATGCAGTTTGCAGTACATTTCCAGTAGAATTACAGTCTGATCCAAAGCCCACGCAAAGAAAAGGCTACTATTGACTTCAATTTTGTAATCACGAGAAGTGACACCTTAATCAGCAGATGTTCTCCAGAGACTTTCAGTAGGAGTGTTCATTTATCCTTTTTGAACAGGAAAGCATGAGTACAGCTGTGAAGAGAGAATTGCATTACAGTTTTTCTTCTGCAGTCATGCCTGGTTCAAGTTCTCCACAAAGTTAAAAGTGAATCACATACCATAATCTGTAAAATAAAGAGATCTGACCTGAAATGTACACTGGTCTGGTGAATGTGGGATCTTGACAGCACACTTCAGCTCCACACTGCAAGCCCCAAAGGTGTGAACTGTTCTTCATGTCTATTGTGGATGGGCTTAAATTTGAAACAAGGGAAATTTGAAATCAACCTTTAAAAAGGTTGGTTATGAATTTAAACCAAGGCACAGGTTTGCCTGGATAAAGTACAGAAGTTCTTTCATTGGAGGTTTTTTTGAACTGGTTGTTCTGTCTGGAATGGGTTAAGAAGAGGAGATCCAGCCATAGAGGGAAAGAGATTGCCTGGCGTCCTAACATCCCTACATTGTCTGTAATAGTATATCCCAAGGTTTCAGGTGTTTTTCATTCTTTGGCTTTCACACTGATCATTGTCAGCTTTAAGCTGAAAAAGAAAAAACCATTTGATTACAAAAGTGCCAGAGCTAAATTATGTTTTGTTTGCATGATGTCTACATGGAAATGTCATGGTGGCCATTTTTGTTTTCCTTTGTAATACTGTGTCTTTACTGTTGAAAGTAATAGAAATAAAAACATCATCATCTTAAAATAGGTGATCTAGAATTAATATATGAATTCCCAAAGTACTGCTTACAAAATTGCTAAAGCCAAATGGCTGCATTTGGGCCAATTGTGTCCCAAAAGCTTTCTCTCAGCAGAACAGTGTAGTTCAGGAGAATCACTTGTTTTTTAACTAGCCAATTACATACTTCTCTAACCAGAGAAGTTTACAGGGACATAGTGTATTCTTTTTTTGTTTATCTAGGCTACACTGAAAAATCATGTCCTTTTAGCCTAAACAAAAGAGGTCATTCAGATAGTGATGGTGGAAAAGAGATGCTGCCAAATCAAACTGTGATGCTGAGATCAGGGTAGTTAAAAAGACATCTCTGCTGGGGCTCACCTTTTTCTAGGTCAAACTGAGAAATCTCTCCCTGTTAGAATTAACTTTTGTCTCCCAAGTTCTAGGATGGTTCCTGCTTGCAACTTCTTGATTGGTTTTAGGATGGGGTCAGGTGGTATTCAACCTGGTTCTCCTTCTTCCCTCCTCCCACTGGGAAAGATACCAAAACTTGTCTCAAGTCAATTTCCTGATACAGATGCTGTTAGTTTCATGGATGCATGTTACAAACCTGAATTTTTTTTCAATTGCAATATTTAAATGAACTCAACCTTCTGCTGTGTCATATAAGGTTGCTATTTGAACAAATGCAGAGATTAAGCAGAGTTTTAAAAATTAAGAGCTTGACCACAATTGTTCCAGATCAGTAATTTCAGAATTTTCTGAGGCAGAGCCTCAAATCAGACCATAGATTGTACAGAAATAATTTTGTTACTGAGAGAATCGGATAGTTCTTTTCTCGCAGAAGACAGAAATGGGACATCCTTTATAGAGTCTTGATGGGAGAGGCAGAAGATGCTTTTCTTCACCAAAATTACAACATCTGAATTTTCTGTTTTTTTCCACATCTATGTGTTTGAGAATAAGGGGCAAACTCTTTCTAATTGTCAGTTATCATGTATTTGGGAAGGAAAACATTGCTGTTTCAGTTCTGTGGCTGCAAGTGATAGCACAAGCAGGTCCTGAGTTTGGTGTGCTGGTTCTCATGGGCAGCCAGAGGACTGCTCTCTCTTTAGGTCCTTTTTCAATGAGACAAGCTTACAGAAGTGGAACTGAAGCTTCTTGTTTTGGGAGGCCTTGGAAACATCATGTGCCATAAACAGAATCTTAGAGAAACTCTACAGATGGTAAACCTTTTCCTGTCACCAGTACCTTGCAGAGAAGAGACACTGTGGATCCCATTTCCTATGAATGGACAGTGGGACTTAAAAGAAGTTTTGCAGCTAGCAACCCTTTTCAGTCATCGAGGAGGAGTCACCAGAACAATTGCTTCCAGACCCAGAGCAGGGAATGATTTTCCTCTGCTGATCAGGGGCAGAAAATCTCCTAAGACTTCTGCAAGCCTAATTTGAACCTTCATTATGGTGGTTTGCATACTGAAAGGTTTTGGAACCTTTGTGGGTTTTTCCCTCCCTAAAGGCACAAGGAATGTGTTATTTCCTGTATGAAATGGAAAAGAGAGGCAGTGGTCCTGCCCTTCAGAAGGACCTGAGCTAACGCCTGTGTGACACCACATCCATGATTTTGAACGTACCTGTGTAGAGATCACCACTGAGTGATCCCACATCACTGGAGGCTTTCACACTGGGGATGTTACAGCACATGGGTGATCTGTGAGCGCCATCTGAGAATGGGCAGGTAGCCACACTCCCCACACTTTAGGGTTTCAAACAAAGATCAATTTTCAGATTTATGTATCCAGAGGACCCCCCCCCTTTGAATTTTCTACAGTTCTTTCTTGCAAAAGTACACTAAAGGCTTGTTAGAAGTAAGTTCCAATGGTTAAATCCCTGATAAACAGTATTTGGGACCTATCTATTCAGCCAGCTTTGGAAGATACCTGAGGGAAAGCTAATACCTGAACTTTTTTTTTGCTATTTTGACATTCCTCCAAATCATCTTGCTTTCTTCTTATGTTTGACCACTGAAGTAACATGGAGTTGAGCATTTGAGCAAATGAGTCCCAGATCCCCTGGTTTTCATCCACATTCTGTTTGTAATGAGTCCTTCCTGCCTCTCTGTCTCCCTTCATTGCCTCTTGAAGACTTGTGCATCTTGCCCTCATGCATCTTGTCAGAGCACTCAGCTCTCAGAAATGAAGCTTCTGGGTATCAAAAAAGTCCCATTTTCGTGATAGAACAAAAGACCAGTTAAAGGTTTGTTCAGTGCTCCCAGCAGTTATGACAGCAGATATTATTTTATCCTTTCCACTATGTCTTTTGAGGAATACCTATTTTAGCAGCTACCCTAGAAGTGCTGAGTTTAAGAGCAGTGCTCCCAGCTCTTAGTGGTGTCCAGGATCCCCCACAGGATTGCTTATCACACTGCTGTGGCTGCTTGGTTAAGGGCACTTGTATATTCTCACAGGACAATTGATCAGTGTACAGTAATTCATTCCTATAGCTCCAAAGGACATAGTTTATTCCAAGAAAGTGTTAAGCCTTTTACTGCAATTCATCTCTGCTGACAAGGAGAAATCTGCTGTGTCCTTGGCTAAAATCCCAGAATTCACAAGGCATTTCTGTGTGACAAATCAACCTGTGTGCTTATGCCCTTTGAGAGATTTTAGTCTGGATTAAGTGCCCCAGAGTCATGTTGAGAGAATTTGCTTCTGGAATGGACATATATCTAAGGAACATATAACACACAGTGGCTCAGACTTACCAGCAGCCAGTGAGTAGACTCATGTAGCGTGGGGACAAACAAAATTGTCAGAAACACCTACACCTTTTCAACTGGGAGAGGGCTTCAATTAAAGCATACTTGAAGAAGTCCTTACTGCTTTGGCTAATAAAAAATTTTTGTAGAACTTTATGTGCTGGAGTGGGAAAGCACACTGTAGGCTAAAGATGCAAGGACTGCTTTTCCTTGAAGGAAGCAGATCTTCAAGTAAAAGTTTCATTCCTCTTAATTAGGAGACCTTGCAAGACAACATAATGAAGATATGGTGCATCTCCTGACTGTATTTCTATAATTTTTTATGAGGTGATCAAAATCAAATGCTTGAGAGCATTCCTTGCTACTACAGAATTCACTGATTCAGCCCCATGTTTCTGGATTTGTTTTCCTTGTTGTCAGACCAGCCTCTTAGCCTTTTACCTCCTTAGACTAAATTATTTCCCCAAAGACCATTTCATAGAATCATAGAATAATTTTTTTTGGAATCATCTAGTTTGGAAAAAACTTACAAGATCATCAAGTGGAATCTTTAACTGAACATCACCCTTTCACCAAGTGCCACATCCATTTGTTTCTTGAACACTTGAAGGAATGGTGACTCCACCATCTCCTTGGGAAGTTTGTTCCAGTGCTTAACCACCCTTCAGTGATGAAATTTCTCCTGATGTCCAGCATGAAACTCTCTGGGCACAGCTTGAGGCTGTGTCCTCTCATCATTCACTGGTTGCCTGGGAAAAAAGGCCAACCCCCACCTGGCTAAAACCTCCTTTCAGGCAGTTGTAGAGGGTGATAATAAGCTTCCACAGCAGCAGAGCTGAGGATAAGATAGATTTGTCTGTAGCCTGCAGTCTTGGAGGACATATTTTTGAATGGTCATTCCCATAAGCAGCCATGGTAGCACTTTATTCCTAAAGGAGGTTCTGGATTGATGTGTGCCTTGCTAATCATCACATAGTACGTGCCTTTGAGCATAGAAATGCATTTGGAAGATCTGCTTGAACTTGCTCTCTCTGCCAGTCATCTGCCAGTGAGATGCATCAAGTTGAGGTCCACCCCCAGTGGGCTGGCAGTATTAGCCATCATTATGCTCAAATGATTTTTTAAAAATTTAAATCAGATGCTGGTCTGAGGAGGTGTTGCTACCACGACTTTCCAATGACAGCCTTCATACTCCCTGACACACCAAGCACCTGGAGGGGATTGTATGCAGATTTCAAAGCATAAAGAGCTACTCTGTAACCTGGCCTGTTCTCTGAAAACTGTTGTCCTACTCTTGTGATGGACACCCTTTACTTTCCAGGTTGCCTAGTCCTTTCTAGCCTTTGCCTGTGACAAGCAAAAAGTATTTATTAGTCAGGCAATTCTTGTGACTTGCATTGTTGTCCCCAGGAGCTCTGTGGAATACATTGCCCTAATAAGTAACATTTTCAGCAGCATTTTGTTTCCAAAGTAAAGATGATATAATTCACCTAGTGTCGTTTTTATTTTTAAATTACTAATTTTATGCTAGTCTGCAGAGGAAAATAAAGAAAAAGAGGTAGAGTCTGTGTTTCATATGCTAAGTTAAGGGGTAAGCCACAGTGATCTGTAGTACTCTAATTCTTTTCATTTACATATAAGCTCATGAAAAAATTGGGGGTTTTTCAGCTGAACCCAGCAGGCATATATTTCCCATTTTAGCACTCAAATGCATGGAATTAAAAATAGGCAAAGTTGGAGGACACAGAATACTCTTGAAGTCTTATCTTTTGAGACAACAATGAAATGGGCTTTTTGAAAATCTGTGTCCTGTGCTGGTAAAGTAGGTGAACTGAAGCTCTGCTATAATATGTCTATATTTTGATATATTTCTAGATTTCTTCCTAAATATGGCCCCCTATAAAGAGAGAGGTATATTTTGACAAAAATTGCTAAAATGAAACTTTGCTGGTCAGTCTGTCCTTCATGCGTGATTTTCACTGCTTTTTAAGGGATGAAGAAGAGAAAAAAAAATCTCACTCGGATGGTACAGATGAAAAGGATAATGGCAACCAGACAAAGGCTGTCAGTCGAATTGGCAATTCAAATAACCCGTTCCTGGACATCCCTCATGACCCCAGTGCTGCCGTGTATAAAACTGGATTTCTGGCTCGGAAAATTCATGCAGATATGGATGGAAAGAAAAGTGAGTAATTTTTCAATTCTAATGTTATTTTCTTGTTATGTCTTCACAATGCCACTTACCAATGAACCCATGTACTTCTCAAAGCAAATAGTGGTGCTTCATTAGGGGAAATAGCAGCAATAACAGGTAACACAACTGCATTATCACACTCTCACTGTTATGCTAGAATTTGCAATGTTCAGTCCCATTTGCAGAAGCTCTAATGCATAAGTATAAGAAATAATGTGATACAGCAAAGCAATGTGAATTTTTGGGCTAAAAAAACCTTAATATAGTGGTTTACAGATACAAAATAATTTCAAGTGAATTACAGTAGCTGTTCTGCAGTAATACGATAATTCTCCTTTTCCTTATGTGACACCAGATTGTTCCAGATCTCCCCTTCTCTCTGGGTCTGTCTTTAAAGAAAGGCTGTTCTTTACCTCTGTTTAGAAGATGCTGTTCCCTATTTTCCCAGCCATGGATCACATATCCAGTGAAGGGTAGCAGCTTTTGGCAACAGACAGCTTTTTAGTATGCAGTTCCTCCCTGCCCCTTTCTTGTAATAATCCTGCTGTGTCCCTTACTTACCTTCTTCCCTTTTTGTCCTACTTCTGTTTGTGTTGCACTAATCATCCAGGGCCTCTGATGCACCTGTGTGTGTTTTGTTGTTTGTATATCTTCATTTGTTGTCTATAGATCTTGGAAAAAGCTGAGGTTAGTCAGAGCATCTGTGTTTTCCCCAGTAACTGTTGATGGTTGCCTACTCATGATTCACATTGGTAGGCTAAATCCCAAAGACAAAAGTCTGGCTTCATCATGGGTTTCCAGTAGCAGCCAGTCTCTCTCCGGCTAAGCTCTTTGGTGTTCACATGTTTTGCTAGTCTATTTTAGAAGGTACAGTTGGAGGTCAGTATTTTCAAGATGGAAGCACACAGCTGGACTACTGGATTCAGACAGAGGTGTCAAAATCAAGCTGACCTAATTCTTTGTGATGACTGGATACTCTAAATAGACTAGTCTTTATTAAACATCTTATTCAACCTTAATGAGTAATTGTATCTGGTTGCCTTTATTAAATTATTTCTTTAATTATAAATACCAGAATTGCTCATTATTTAGCATACTGGTCACTGGCATTCTGGAGATACCTCTTTTGTGAGTAATGCAATTAGGACCATGTTTTAAGAAGTTCCTGTACAATTTAAAGGTCTGCCTTCCTCAAAAAAAGTTACATTCTGGCTTTCCAGGTGCTAATAAAACTTTGTTTGTTTGTTTGTTTCTTAGACTTTTTCATGTTTCATGTTTCATTTTCTGTTGGAGTCCTTGCAGGGCAGAGATTAACTTGTGTGGGATTTCTCATTAAGTGATGTGCTAGAATGGTCATCTGTATTTTTCAGGAACCTAGTTCTAAGGGCTAAAGCACTCTAGGCACTTAGAGGAGAAAGGTGTAACAGGGGCTAGTGACTGGAAACTGAACTGAACAAATGCCAGTTAGAAGTAAGGCCCATTTTGCAAGATGAGAATTATTAACCTCTGGGACAAGGGACTTGTAACCTCTTCATCTTCACTTTCTGTCTTCAGATCAGAATGGGGTGCCTTTCTGAGTGTCATTCTTTAGTTGTGTGTGTATTAATTTTAGTATAGTGTCAGTAATACACTATATGGATATTTGGTGAGGAGTGAGTGTAGATGTAGGCTTCTGGTCTCTGGTGACTGTAGGGCTTGCACATAATTCTCTCCCTCTGTCACACCTGAATTCCAGACTGGATCCTTCAGCCTTCAGGCTGAATTTACTTCCCCCCCCCCAGCCACTGCTTGTCTCTAGGAATTTATGGGCTAGATATGTTGTCTCTGTTATGTTCTTCAACCTCTAACTGACTTCGGCTTTCTTGTGGGGTTGGGTGTTTTTACGTATGATTTTGGTTGGCACCCTTCTCCTTTCTTAATGCCACCTTGGGACTGCAGCAGCAGTAAAGGGGAATGATGCTCTGGGGAGACAGTGCTTTCTGTGTAGTATCCCACTGGTTCTGAGCAGCTCCTGCCAGCCTGCTGTGGCATATAGAAAGACTGCTTCTTTCTGAAAACTGCTGTGGTGCAGAGCTCAGGCGTAGTTGTGTAGGGGCAATGTCTGCCTGTCTTCAAGAGCACAAAGATTGGATCTCTGTGTCTCTCTGTGGCCTGCTTTTTGCATTGCTTCTGTTCCTTTCTGATCCAGTCCAGGACTGTCGTCAGGGTTGTTGTATTACTGTGTCTCACAGCAGGTACATGCAGGCACTGTGACATGCAGTGCTAAGTTGCATTGTCCTTTGAAAAAGATAGTTCAAAGGAGGTTTAACACAGGACTAACATGTCCTACAGCTCTCCCGTAGCATAGACAAAGTATAAAAATGGATCTGATATAAATGGGTTTTCATTTGTTTTCTTTCCAGCTCCCCGGGGAAAACGAGGCTGGAAAACCTTTTACGCTGTGCTGAAGGGGACAGTCCTGTACTTGCAGAAGGTAGGGGAAATCACTGTCTTTTGAAAACTAATTAAAAGAGGGATAAAGCAGCATGCATCCTCTCCACTCTCTTAGCGCACCTCCAGGCTCCTTTCCCTCCGATGCACAGCATGGCTGATCTCCCTACCCCCACCCTATTAACACACACATTCAGGCATGAATCCTCTCATTGACACCCTGTCCCTTTTCACAATTTCAAGTTCAGTTCCTCTGCCCACATCCACATGTGCACCCTGTAGGTTCCAGCATATGCCACTGCTGTCTCACGCAGCAGAAAAACCAGCCAGCTTCACCAGCAAAGACAGTGTCACCTCTCTGCACTGTGCACACATTCCTCTAGGCTGCTTCTAATTTTGCATTTCGTATATATGACTTTCCCTTCTGTAAGGTTGTCCTCCTTTCCCACCTTTTCATATTACGGTTTTCTGCAGTGCCTGCAAGACCAGCTGCAAAACTATTGAACAACAGCTTGGCTTTGGTAGGAATCTGCAGCTTCTGTTCCTTTGCAAAATTGAAGGATAAAAGGATACTTTTTTTCCACAAAGCAAGAAAGGACTGGTTTCTAACAAAATGTGCTTCCTGACAGCAAGATGTCTAAAAAAAAGTTAGATTAAATCCTTCAAGCCTTTTGTTGCAAGCTTAAATATATTATAGTACATTTTTAACTACACTGTTAGAACATAAAATGCAACATATGAGTGAGAACTGTCAAAATCAAATAAATGGCAGCAGCTAAGTAGGTTGTTAAGGCTTTTTGCCCTCCAGTATAGATGAAATATTCATGGAATAGGTGCTGCTTGTCCAGACTGCCCTATATTGCAGAAGTATACTTCTTTGAAAGCTGTTTTACATTTTCACTCAAAAACTGATAATTTTGTAACTATCAGGAGTGCAAGTACATACTGCTGTTTCCTCCTCCCCTGCTGTGGCTTTCTGAAGTTGTTGGTTTCACTGGAGCCAACCTCAATAGTCTCTTGAGAAGAAAGAGTGATTTGAATCAGGATATTATAGCCTGAGTTTTACAAGAGGAATGCTCGGGGTGCAGTACATTTTTGAGGGTGCTGAAATCTTGAAACAGTTAAAACTGCAGTCAGTATACAAGATTCGGGCTGAAATATGGATGTGATATGCTCAGAGCCAGTGCAAGACACTAAAACCAAGTCTGCTGAATCCCAAGTCCTTTTGCTGGGAGCACGTTCAGGTATTACTAAAATGCCTTAATGGCAGGCTTGTACTTGCCCTTTTCTGACCAAAGTGTATTCATCTGCTTCAGTTTCTGAAACAAGTAATCTTTAATGTTCACCTGAAAAAACTGTATGATTCTCTGAGAAAGAAGAAGACTCCTTTTTTGTAATAAAAGAATTAATTTCTGATTTGGTATTCAAGGGAAAGAACTACTCTCTATTTTAGCACCTTAATTAAATATTTTTATGAGTATTGCTGGCATATTAGTTTAAAATGCTTTCTGTTTGATAAAATGTAGAGATGCTGACATAGGATGCAAATTTTGTAGAGAATGCTGCCCTTCCCCCTGTTACCCTCCATGCTTTCAGAAGCAGGGAGTAATTTCACATATGACTGCATCTTTGCAGAACAAAATGCATTGTTGGAATTCGTGTTCTTATTTGTTTGTTAACTGTGTATTTTGCACTTGTCAGAGCACTTAAATTCAGTGGTTACAGGGCAGTATTCTGCAGAGCTGCATTTTCCCATTTGCATGGGATTCATCCCTTGCATTGAATTCATTTACAGAATGTAAATGTAGCACACTGCCAAAGCAAGGCTTTTGCTTTTGTGCTGTGAGAAGACTGTGATGGGAGGTAACTCATTGCAAGAGTGACAGGGCAGCTGTGAGCCTCCCCAGGGTGCCTCTGGCCCCTGCTCAGCCACATACTGCAGCTGTGAAAACACCTGTGATTTCAGCTTCAGAGGGTCCACCAGGGCTTTCCTTCAGCACTCAAACTTTACTCTGCTAGGGATGTTGTATCATAGAAGGTGAAGGTGCCAGCATTAAAAAATACACAGCTAGGCCAAGTTGTTATAATAAAGGTTGGTGAGAGGCTGTTTCCTTCTGTAGGGATTGAATTATCCTAATTTTAGGAAGTAGTGAAACATTTTAGAACAATTTGATTTCTTTGCAGAAGTGCATAGTTCTGAAAATAGTCCTGGCAATAGTCCTGGTCAAAGGGTTGCCTTGTCTCAGTTCTCCTTCTCTCCTGGTTATTAAGAAGGTGAAGCTGACATAGTGCAGTAGGGCGGGGTGCATTCACAAGCACGTCCTTTTTCTCTCAGTCCCTCTATACCTGTGGAGATATCTGTGATGGTGGTTTCATTGCACTATTCGAGCAGGATCAAGAGAAATCTCACTGTACAGGTGCTGTGTACACACAAACACACGTACAGACCTCTGCAGTATTGCTTTCTGTGTTCATTTGTAACTTAGCTGTTCCCTCAATACACTATTGTAATATAAATATTAAGTGTTCATAGCAGCTGTGAATCCCCCAGTGGGCAGTGTGACCCCAATTCTGCTGTCTCTCTGTTTGCATTGCTATTCTCCTTGTTTTGCTGTCAAAGGCCATGTATGAGAGTGATTTGTAAATGGTGGTCACTCGAGATTTACTGAGGATTTTTCTGGACAGCCTTGTCTCTCTGCCCACCTTTTTTTTCCCCATTGGACTTACTCCAGTTCCTCTGGTGTGTATTGTTTTGTTCTTAAATAAGTGATTTAGGAGAGATGGTTTCTGAATTAGTGAGCACAGAGGGCACTGGAGGAGCTCAGTGGAAATGTCCACAATTAGCCAACTAAACATGCCTGTGCAGTATTATATAAAATAAGAAGTTTGACATGGTAGGGACATTGGCTGTGTCTCTGGGCATCCTCAGGCCAAGGTTAATTTCCTGCCCTCTGTTCATAGCAAGAGGAAATTGCAAAGTAGCAGCTTGACAGAATGTCTGTTCACTAGACTGACATGGGATGTGATGTGCATACACAAGAGAAGCTTATAAGGAGGGGACATAAGGCTGACCTCGCTTCCCTTCTAGAAATTGCTTCTGGGCAAACAGTGCACGACACAAACCTCCATGTTTTGTTTGGACTCTTCTGTGAGGTTTGCAACATCTTTGTTCTTTGATGTGGCACCTCAAAATCTTGCAGGCTTCGGATATTTTTATATAAATTTTGTCAAATTTCCTGTGTTCAAAATAAAAAAAAAAAAAAGATAGAAAAAGGCCAGACTGATGTAAAGTGTTTGGTAGTGAGACTTTCTGAAAGAGAATCTTGTAGCTGTCACATGCAGCTGCATGGAGATACCCATGTATGGTACAGTGATTGATAAGAAAAGACAAATGTCATTCTCTGGTTTACCAAAAATGTATTTAGAAATACGCTGACTCTGGGTCATCGAGATGTGGTAAAGTAATTCTCCAGGAGTTTGAGAAGGATGAATTCAGCATGCCCTTGCATTGTATGCAGCACTCACATCAGCCTTCATCTGACAGACAGATCATAGTTTCTTTCTGGCTCCATATATTTCTTGCCACTGTCTAGGTCTAACTTTAGAGATCTGCCTTCCATTTCGGCTCAACCTGAAGGCTCACATCAGCATATACTGTCCTTGACAGCTTAGGCAAAAATGGATGTTCCTACTCCCCTAGCATTCCCTACCAGTCAAAAAGAGTTTAAGGCCTTGGAGAAGGAATTTTGGCAGCACATTCATGTCTTTGCATGCTTTCTCTGAGGCTGGCAAGCTATGTGGAGACATTTCCGGTATGCTGATCAGAGCCTTTGGAGAAGCTGGCAGAGCCCCAGCTGTCAAGGTAGATTGCAGCCAACTGATCTGGTGGGATTAGCAAGGATTACCATGAATGCTTTCTGTTGGAAAGGAGGGTTTATCAGCCAGAACTGCTTCTGGGGCTGCCCAAATGTGGACTTCTTCTGAAACAGGTTTAGTCACCAGAGTAAGTTGCAGACATTGGATGCAACTCACAGAGGAAGCTAGGAGACAACAAGGTCAGTGATAGTTGACACTGTCTCTAGGCAGTAATACAAGGTAAAATAGAGTATCATATGTCTGAGGCCTGTCTAATTTCATTTCCTGGCTCTGAGGTTTTCCCAGTCTTCCTGGACAATAGAGCCAGTCATTTCCCCCAAAACTACCACCAAATAAATCAGCTTTTGACCCCTTACAGGAAGGGGCTTGATCTGAGGCCTTACCTCCTCCATCTTCAAAACAGAGTATACCAGACTTCTTGAAAAAGGTTTAATGAAATGCCCTAAGTGGGCATAGACAAAATCCTTCAAGACAGACAGATGCCTCCAAATATCACTGAGTCTCAAATTATGAGAGAGGAAGGACATTTATCTTTGCTCACTGCCAGTCCTTATAAACCCCTTATATCACCCCTTAGATCTTCAGGTTCGAGGCTGCCCTTTGGTCACCTGTGCAGTAATGCTCTGCCTTTCTGCTGGGCCTGCCATACCCATGGTGGGTTGTGCCCTTGCCTAGCTCCAGATAGAGGTGGTGGTGTGGCAGGACTGCTGGGTAGCTTCCTCTTTGTCTGAGCAGCAGTGTGGGAAGTTGTGGGCCTGCACTAGCAGGACCTCCATCAGAAAGGATGCAAGATAAGAAATTCCAGACAGGCAAAGGAGCAAGATGTTTTCTCCCACCTTCCAAGAGATGGTCACCACATCTGGTGACTCCCTATCCACTGAAAGTCAACCTGGAGAGCCCCAGACCAGCCTGGCTGAAAGCTCAGATACCTTTGTCAGTGGCATGGATTCCTCTGGCTGCAATCCTGTTTGGTGTGCTGCCAGAAAAGTTCTGTAAATTACTTCATGCACTTTATCCAGCTCTTCTCTCAGGTGGGTGCCTCCCTGGATGTTGAAGCTAGTACTAATCCCTGCACACACTCTGTGTCCTGCACTGTGTTTGCTGATAAACCTCATCTCATAAATTGTGTTCAAGTGCAGAATCAATAGTTACAATGCCTGCAGGGAGTTATTTCACTGCTTTGCAGATGTCACACTTGGTGCATATTGCAGGTGAGACTGATTTCTGTGATACACTAAGGGAGAGAAATGGAGTCAATTACAGGCTGCTTTGGCCTGCCCTTCAGAAAAAAAGTGATGCAGCCTTGCTGGAAAATCACTTTTCTTTCAAAAAGTTCCTGGTTTTCCCAAGCCATTTATGGTCACGTGGGCTTTGGATGGAATTTGTGGCTACATCATGCCCTTGTCCTGCTTCCATCACTGAGAAGATCAAAGACTGCTTCCAGGCTGATGCTTGCAAACAAGAGTCCGTGTTTTTGTCATCTGGTGTTAGGAGTGGTATGGTTACTGTGTCAGTAACCCAGATACAGCTGTGCTTTCCATTTTTAGACCCTCATCAGAGAGATGTAAGGGAGTTTGCTGTAATTTTCTTTGTGGACATGGTAAGGGGGCTTCCGTGATGTGTGAGGCTTGCCTAGGAGGACCTACAAAGGTAATTGGTTGAGAAAAATTAAAATCAGGCAGTAGAGGCTGAGAACACAAGTAGCTGAGCAGTGGAGTTGGGGAGCTGATTATGAAGGATTCCTGAAATTAAGACAAATAATCCACAGCTGTTGTCACAGTCAAATACTTCCTGTTTACATCTCTTCCTGTCACGCAGGTAGTAGAACTACTTCTCTCCCTTGTAAAGACATCAAAACAGAAAAAGAAAGAAAGAGAGAAAAAGTAGAACATGTTAAGGGTAGTGGAAACCACAAGTCAAGTTGCACTTAGTTCATATACTCTATTACTATTTCTGAACTCTGGAATAAGGTTTTTTCCCTAGGCTAAGGAAAAAGGAATAGTTCATGCAGAAATTAAAAGCCCTAAATTTTCCCCCTGCTATCTCCTGCAGGATGAATATAAGCCAGAAAAGGCTTTGTCTGAGGAAGATCTGAAGAATGCGGTTAGTGTGCACCATGCGCTGGCATCCAAGGCAACAGACTATGAGAAGAAACCCAATGTCCTCAAGCTTAAAACAGCAGATTGGAGAGTCCTGCTTTTCCAAGCCCAGTAAGTGCTTTCCTTGTGCTACTTATTGAGGAGAGAAAGCAGTGCTGAAAAATGAATAAATTCTTGCCTGGACAGGTTAAAGCAGAGGCTTAAGAGGTTCAATCTGTTTATTTGATCAGAAATATGATTAAGTAATGATGTGATTACAGTGCACAAGTAGTGCATGAGAAAGAAACATCACGTTTTAAGAGGCTTTTTAATCTAGCTGAGAGAGGCATAACGAAATGCAGCAGCTAGAAGCTGAAGCTCCAGGAAATTCAATTTGGAAGCAAGGCACAAACTTATAACTGTCAGGATGATTAATCATTGAAGCAAATGACCAAGGGTAGCCTTGGATTGTCTGTCTCCTGATGTCATCAAGTCCTAGCCAGATGTCTTTCTAGAAGGAATGCTGTGGTCAGAAACAAAGTTACTACTTAATACAAGAATGATTTGATAAAGTTTTTCATGCTGTGATATCCAGACATAACAGATGACCTGCCTTTTGCTTCTGAGCCCTTTTCTACTGAGATCCATATTAAACCTCCTAGAGATCTCTGGTGTCCAGCACAGCTGAGACCTTAGGACATATGTCTGAATAAGGGCATTAGTTGACTCTGTCAGCTGTGTTACTAGGATTGGATTAGGGAAAGATGTGTGCTGGGGTATGGACCAAACCACAAGCCAGCCTGTGACTGAGCTACTTAGCACTAACTGCTTCCAAACATAGGCAGGAAGATGGAGCAGACTCTTAAGAATTGTCTAGTTTTGGTTATTCTGACTTTTAAAATACTATAGAAGGGATGGAAATAGGTAGATAAGGCTGAGTCAGCAGTGCTTAATATGTGTTGCTTCCTCAGGAGCCAAGAAGAAATGCAGACCTGGATCAACAAGATAAACTGTGTGGCTGCTGTCTTCTCTGCACCACCATTTCCAGCAGCCATTGGCTCTCAGAAGAAGTTCAGTCGCCCACTCCTGCCAGCCACCACAACAAAGCTATCTCAGGTGAGACATTTTTATATAGAGGGTAGGTGATGATGATTTCTCTTTCTGGCTGGACACTGGATGGTGGTCCTTGTCACTGTTTTGTAACTGTTGCCACTAGCAGTCCTAGGAGGAGAAGGCTTGCATAGTAAATCTCTGGTCATTTCCTCGTGCAAGATTTGAAAGAGGAGCAAATACAACTGATCTATGTTTCTGAAGAAAATAGATAAAGAATTAGATAAAGAATTTTATTCTTGTGCTTATTGCCCCTCAGAGGACATTTCAGATACAGATTTATGAGGTTTTTTTGGATTTGAGTGCTTATGAAAGCCACTCATTTCAGATTAAGTGGACATATTCCTGGTCTTTGGCATATTGAATTGATAAAAGGTGAAAACTTTTGATGCATCAGACAAGAATCAATTATATTTCTCCAACTAGATTTTCCAGACTTCATTTATCAGCTCAGGAATTTCCTGTATAATATATATTTATAAACTGTGTCTTGCATTAATCTCTTCATTCTCCCTTGTGATCACACAAGCTTTTAGTATCCCATGGCAAGGAGTTTCACAGTTCTATTGCTTCTTGCACAAACACACGTATTTTCTGCTTGTCTCAGACTGACTGTGTCAGATGCTTGTGCCCATAGCTTTTTGTATTTTGGGAGATGCAATGCTTGCCTGGAATTCCTCCTGCATTGGCAGGAACATGATACTGATTGTGTTGATCAGATTGACAGAGGTTGTACTTCATGACATCTTCCTGTAGCTTTTAAAATTATTTGCCCATGTTGTATTGCTTCTTAAATGCATTTGTTGGGTTGTTTTTTTGTTTTTTTTTTTTTACTGTCTTCATAGCTTAGCAACTATCCTTAGAAACCACTGTCTCAAAATCTGTGTTTCTCTAGGGGTGTGGGGTTTTTAGGTTGCTTGTGCTTTTTCTCTCTCCATGACAGTAGCCTTTCTTCTTACAGCGTGGTTACTGACTTACCACGTTTTGTTCTGGGCTAAAGTTTAAGGCATGTTATGTAAAAAAAATGATACTAACTTGTTTCATCCTTTTGGTTTTAGTTTTTGCTCATGCATACCTTTTTAAAAATACAGTATGAGGCTTCCATAATTTACCTCCAGTCACCAAGGGAAACTTTTTTACTTGTTGTTCTGTATGATTGTTCCATTTAGCATGTTGTTTTCTAGTCTCACTGTTTCCATTTAATCTGGAAAGGGAAATGATAGATCACAACCCTGTGGTTTGTATCTTGAAGAAGGAGAGACATGAAAAGTGGAATAAGATAAGCTGTTTTCGGCAAGCAGAAGAATGTTAAGTGTTCAAAATAGATAAATTCAAAGGGAAGTAGAAACATGTCTGCTTTCATCTGTCACTGTGGAAAACCTGCCAGCAGGCTGTTTCTCATTAAAAAAAATACAAATTGTCAGATGCCTGTGGTTGATGTTTAGGATTTTATGGGATGAATCATGATGGACACTACTTCTTCAAAGCAGTCTGTTCCTGCCCAGCCAGAAGTTGAGTTGCAGTGAGGACCTAGCATGGGTAAGGAAGAGAGGCTGGACATGATGATAGGTTGTGCAAGATCATTGTACCAGATTTTCTTTCAAAAGCAGAGTAGTGTATGATCTTGGTTAGTCCAGCCAAAGAGGGATATGACAAAGCCATATATAAAGGAGCAACCAGTCTAGAAAAGACCTACTAGGGTGTTGCGTTTTTTCTTTTTTTCTGAATATGCGCAGCACACACAAAAGCTCCAAAGCTGGTGCCCTGGAAATGACAAGTGCTGTATTAATAGCTGCTCAAAGACCTCCTGTCATCAGGCTGTAGAACTCACTACCACAGGATGTCCCTGGGACCAGGGAATCAGCAGAACATAAAGAGTGAGGGCACTGATGAGCAAGCATGCACATTTAGGGTAGTAACTAACAGCAACAAGAATTTTTGGCAAATTCTTTCTTTAGAACCCTACCATGTTTAGGCAGAGGCAAATTATCCCACATGTTTCTCTCTTCAGTACTCCTGCAAAAGAATTGAAACACAAGATTAGTTGGGTCTCAGAAGTTTCCCCCCTTGCTGCTGTTTTCCGCAGCTCCAGCTCAGTGAGCCAAGATGCTCAGTCCCCAGCGTGACTCAGTGCATTGCAGGCATTTCTGAGCTAAGCTTGAAGCTGTGGGCTTCATCTGAGCTGTGGGCTGTGCTCAGAACCCCACCACTGAAGGACAGCACTGGCAGCTGTTCCATCCTCTGAGGTGAGGTGCTTACACCTGGGTACTACCTCTTGGCTAATTCACCAATATCTGCATGATCATGTGTCTATTTTGGACTTACCTAATTCAAACATGATTTCAGATCCAAGCCTAGAAATGGACAGAAGGCCATCCTGCAGGAGATGGAAACCTGAGATGAGGGAAGGTTAGCTGACAGATGGACTGGAGGAAGTGAGTGGGCCTGGGATTATCATAAAGGAAATTGCCTAGAAAGTGGGAGTAGCAGCTCCTCACTTTCTCTGACTGCACAGTGGGATAAAAGCTGGTAGCAGCTTAGCAAAATGAGATACTTTTTGGGGTCTGGACAGCCCTTCCTCTTCTGAATGCATTGTATTATTCTAAACAAATACAAACCACACACCAGAGAGCTTTTGGCAGTGCAGAAATAGAAGGAGGGGCCCTGGCTCTATGACTTTCTATCCTGAAAGGAATTCCTTTTACATTGTAATGACCTGAGGCAGGGCCTTCACCTGTCTCATTCTGCCCTTAGTTTGTCTGCATACACAACAGTCTTAATTAATATACAAAAGAAGTGTTAAAGCAAAAGTGTCATGTTGTCAGTATTGCTCGGCAGCAAGCTGCTTCTGTTGCTCACAGCAAGGCAATGGATGACAAGTTTGCTCTCCTTCCCAGTGGCATCTGCTAGCTGCTGAGTTTTTCTGCAAGCTTGGCCACTTTGAGTGCCTTTGAGAGAGCGTGCCTTTGGTAGCAGTGCTCTGGGATGGCAGACCTTACCAATCTAAGAAAAAGAAACTATGAGGTATTATTGTACAGGAACCTTTCTAATTTTTTTTGCTGACTGGATATTTTAGATTCTGTCACTTAAGTGCCTAATGTGTTTCTGAAGGATGAACAGCTGAAGTCCCATGAAGCTAAGCTGAAGCAGATCTCCACTGAGCTTGCTGAACATCGCTCCTATCCTCCTGACAAGAAGCTCAAAGGCAAGGAAGTAGATGATTACAAACTGAAGGACCACTATCTGGAGTTTGAGGTATATGTGGGAAACCTTATTACTTTTACTTCTTAGGTGTGGATGGTCTTATATTTGCATTTTTCACTTTACTTCCCCAGGAAGTGTGTTCTTGCTAGGCAGAAAAGTCACAGCAATTGCAGATGCTGGGATATGGTTCTTCTTTCTGGTGAGAACTTCCTTGGTGAATTTAGCTCCCAGTCTGTAACATGGAGGATAGAAATAAGACTCCTGTCCTTCTTGATTAAGAGATTTAAAGATCTTCATGTACAAAGTGTCTCATGTTGTAAAACTGTGTTGCCTAGAGTATTGGAACCTCAGTCTCTAAAGAATGACTGTGTTCTGCAGGAATGCAGATAATGGTAATTGTCTTCCATTGGTAGGTTGTGAAGGAAGTGATGTGCTGGAGTTATTGTCATAGGCATGCCTCCCTCATCAGAGCTGTTTGTGTTGAAATGGATGTCAGGATGAGAAGGAATATGGTAGAATAAAGATCACAGGGTTGAGTGATGCAACTTAGGCAGATGCATTAGGGGATTGTTTTAAGTATCTGACAGCAGCTTTTATCTATAATGGTGAATGCCATGTTTTAGGACTGTAGGAATGAATGGGCAACCCAGCAGATGACTGGTATTTGTTATGACTACACCTTTGAGCTTTTTCCCCCAGGACTGCAAGTCAATGTTGCCTTGGGTCTGAAAGGATCCTACTCTAAATAGGCACTGCCTGGCAAGGAAAATACATAGTCTGAGAAAGAGGAAGAGCAGATAAGACAGATGAGACCACCAGAGCTGATGCTGGAGGCAACACAGTACAAGCCTCCAGAGCTGAAGTAAGCCTTCTGCCCCATGCTGCCAGTTTCTGTTAGAGGGACTCTTTTTACTCCTGGACTTAAATCATTGCATACTTTTGCTTTTGCAGAAAGTTAACCACTGTGTGACCACTGTGTTGAGTTTCACTTTGCTGTTGCAATGTCCATCAGCATGGCGTTATGAAGGAGGAATCATAATCTGACCAACATGATAGTCTTTTATGATGTGATATTCGGTGTGATGGAAGAGGGGAGAGCAGTGGTTGTTGCTTGTTTTTACTTTGACAAGAATTCTGACATTGTTACCTCTAACGACCTTGTAGTCGTGGATTAAGTGGATTAGGAAGTTGACAGTGAGGTGAGCAATAGAGATAATAGAGATCAAAGGATTGTGATCAATGGCACAGTGTCAGTTAGTTTTGAACAGAGAACTCAGATGTAGAGTAAACCACACACTTTCTCTCTGGAGGGGATCTTGTAAAACTTGGAAGATCGAGCATTTTCTTAGCTTTGGGTTCTTGACATAAAGTTTATTTTCTATCACTTTGAGAAGTTTGATGAGTTAGGATGAAATGTAGGCTGGAGTGTTAAAAGTTTATAGAAAGATTGATGAGGTAGTAGATTGTTGTGGGTTTTTTTTGTTTGTTTCCTGTGAATTTATCAGGGATAACATCCTTTATCTTTTAAGGATATTTCTCAGGTACCTCAGTACAAATCAGAACCAGTATAGCCCAGGAAACAAAAGGTGTCCTCTTCACGAGTGAGAGTCTTGAACAGCATTTGAGCTGTGCAGTTCAGATTAGTGATCAGCTCTGCACGAGTGCTCATCTAAGCAGCCAAGTTGTGGAAACAGCTTCAGTTACATGGGAGAAATGGTAATTCAGGGTGCTGGTTTGCTCTGCTGTGTTACCTTCACAGTAAGCACAGATTTCACAGACCATGTTGAACTACCAAGACACCATTCCAAGGGTCATGAAAGCAGGCAATTCCCAAATGTTGGAAGTCAAACAGATGAGGCAGAAGGCTAACCGAGATCTTCTGGAGCTAAGGCAAAAAAGTAAGGTTTATGCTGAGTGGAAGCAAGGTTAAGTGGCAAGGGAAGAATACAGAGAGAGGTGCTTCTCACCATTGTAACAAGAAAATTCATGTAGCCAAATCTCAATTTCAGTTGCATCTGGCCAGAACTATGGGGGATAAAATGAGTGTTTTAAAAAGAGTGTCAATAAAAAGAGTGTTTTGAAATATAGTAATGGCAAAAGGCAGTGTAGAAATAGTATCAGCCTCTTACAGGATTAAGATAGTCATCTCACAAACAGGGACATGGACAAGGCAGAGGTATTTAATGCAGTTTTTGCCTCTGTCTGCAATATGGGTGGCAAACCAGGGGGATCTCAGTGCCCTGAGCAGAAGGACCATGACTATGAGAATGAGCAGCTTCCATCTAACCTTGAAGTTGTGTGGGATCAGCTGTTCCAGGTGGATCCCTGCAAATATATGGGGCCTAATGAGATTCATCCAAGAAACCTCAAACAGTTTTCTGATCTCATCACGAAACTACTCTTGATGATATTTGAAAAATCTGGATAGATCCCAATTGGCTGGAAACTATCTAATGTTTTCCCAATTTCCAAAAAGGGCAAAAAGATGTCACTGGAAACTACAGGTCTGTCAGTCTCACTTCAGTGCCTGGTAAAATTGCAGAAAATTATTCTGGGGAGTACTGGAAAACACCTGGAGGACACTGGGACCATCATCACATTTTCCATGAGAGGAAAGTCAGGCTTGTCCAACCTGGTTTCCTTGTATGACAGGATAACCCACTTAGTTAATCAACAGAAGCCAGTTAATGCAATCTTTTTTTTATTTCATAAAGCTTTTGATATTGTCTCTCTCAGGACCCTTCTGGAGAAAATGTGCAGCCCACAGCTGGATAAACACACCATGTGGTGGGTGAGCAGCTGCTCATGGGTCAGTCAAAAAGGGCAACAGTGAATGGGGTGACATCAGACTGGTGTGACCTGTCACTAGTGGGGTTCCAGGGGGCTCCATCCTTAGCCCTGTGTTCTTGAACATCTTCATAAATTACTTGGACACAGGACTGGAAGGGATACTAAGCAAGTTCTCAGATGATACAGAACCGAGAGAAACTGTTGACTCCCTTGAAGGCAAGGAGGCCCTGCAGAGAGGCCTTCACAAATCAGAGGTCTGGGCAATCACCAACTGTGTGAAGTTCAACAAGGGAAAGTGCTGGATTCTGCATCTGGGATGTGGCAACCCTGGGTGTGTGGGCCACCTGGGAATGAGGAAATGGAGAGCAGTGCCATGGAAAGGGATCTGGGAGTCCTGGTCGAGGGCAAGTTGAACATGAGCCAGCAGTGGCCTGGGAGCCAGGAGGGCCAGCTCTGTCCTGGGGTGCATCAGGCACAGCATCACCAGCTGGGCAAGAGAGGGGATTGTCCTGCTCTGCTCTGAGCTGGGGCAGCCTCACCTCGAGTGCTGGGTGCAGTTTTGGGCCCCTCAGTATAAGAAAGATATGAAACCACAAAGCCTCCAAAGGAGGGCAGTGAAGATTATGGAGGGCCTTAAGGGGAATCCCTATGAGGAGCAGCTGAGGTCCCTTGGTTTGTTCAGCCTGTTGGAGAGGGACGGAGGGGGGACCTCATTGCAGTCAACAACTTTCTTGTGAGGGGAAGAGGAGGGAGAGGCACTGATCTGTCTGTGTGGGAATGGCCTGAAGTTGTGTCAGGGGAGATTTAGGCTGGACGTTGGAGAGAGGTTCTTCTTCACCCAGAGGGTGGTTGGACACAGGGTCCCCAGGGAAATTAATGATCACAGCACCAGCCTGACAAGAGTTCAAGAAGCATTTGTACAATGCTCTCAGGTACATGGTGTGATTCTTGTGGATGATCCTGTGCAGGGCTAGGAATTGGACTGGTTATCCTTGTGGTCCCCTTCCAACTCAATTTATTTTGTTATTCTGTGAGGCAGTAAAAATCCCAAACCAAACCTAAATGTTGAATTGTATTAAAATTGTGAATGGAAATTTTGTGAATGGAAAGCTTCCCTTTAGAACAATGCCCTGTCAGGGTTGATAGGAGTGGTGAAAGAGCTTGCTGCATGAGGTTAAATGAAAAAGGCAAGGGGCATGTGAGATAGGATTTTTTAACTGTCCCTTGCAGGCTGAGACAGCAGCCTAAACCTTGTGTCTGTGTACAAAAGGCCATGCTGATACATCTTGGGAAACACACCCAAAGGGCCTGTGGATCCCTAAGGTAGCATTGTACCAGGAAGGAAGATGCCATTTTCCTTTTCTGTACAATTTGTTTTTGTTTACACACTGGTGATGCCTACGTTCTTGTTCCTGACAAAAGACAATGAGATGGAGGGGAGGTGAACCAGGAGGTAACTGGTCCTTGTTCAGGTATACATCCAGTAGCATTTGTTTTTGATGGTGTCTTTGCATATACACACCATGGAAAGAACAGCTCTCATTACCTTCTCTCTGAGAAAGTACTGCATCAGATTGCAAAAAATTGTTGCTTATTGCAGAAAATTTATAATTATAGAAAGATCTTTTGAGTGCTGTCAAGTAAGAGGTGAAGCCAGAATACTGATGTGTGGCTACCTCATACTTCCTTATTATGTGCATTCATTCTTTAGCGATAATTTTGCAGAAGTTTTTGAATGGTTTCAACTTATGTAGTTTTATTTCTTGACAGAAATTTCCAAATTAATTTCTTTCAAGACAAGATTTCCACTAGCATTTACCTAACTTGAAATGTCAGGTCACTGAAAGACCAACTTTGTTGTGCTTGAATTCAAAGTAGAAATGTGTTGATTAATTATAATAGAAATAAAGGGAAAAATGGCCATTTGCACAGACGCAGGTCCTGGATTTCCATTCTGATTGCCGAGTCTTGAGACTCTGGTGGTGTTTACTGGACCAGTAAAAGCATAAATCTGTACAACAGTAAAGCCCCCCTCTCCATTTCATGATATTGCGCTGTTCCCAAGCTGTGAGAGCGCTGGCTGGCCTTTTACAGAAGCGTCTGGTTCATCTTGTGATGAATCATCCATCAGCTCAGTGCATCATCGTCAGAGTTCTTCTTGCCGTTTCTCCATTTCCATTTTTATTAAATGACACATCTTACCTGCTTCATGTGTTTGTCTCTCACGTTGTGGAGCTCCATCTCCAGATATGGAAGTCATAGGAATACTTATTTATTTAATTTGTAGGAGGATTCTGTTATGATTCTCCTCTATCGGGGTTTGTTTATTCAAAGGATTTTCAAAAGCCAGTCACATTTTCTTCTTTTTTTTTCCCCCTTTATATTTCACACTTCAACGCAGTTACCAAGCTTTTTGACTTCCTGCCCTTAAATAAATGTTTTTACCAGAACTTTATTATTTTATTAGAAAATGTAAAATGTTTTCTTAAATACTTTTTCCTTTGTCAGGAACATCATAGCTTGGCTGCTGTTCTGCTACTTTCAAATACAATTTAACAATCAGTACAGATATTTACATCCACCTTCCTGACTCCCAGCACACTGAGATCACTGTAATTACAATGCCTGCACCATGTCTTTAGTGGATATATCAGGGGCAGGTTTTTAAATAAATCCTATGAAGTGGATTGCTCTATTTTCATGACCTCCTGCTCCAACATCTGGTTTTGAGACCCTTCAGGGGTCTTCTGTTACTGTACCCTCATTTTCTTCCTTGCTGAATTGTTTTTTTGGAAAATGGTGCAGTTGTAACAAACAGAATGAAATCTTCCTGTTGGAGAGGGAAAATCCTGCTCCAGGCAAGGAATAGAACAAATGGGCAGGGGGGAGAGTAAAGTGAACTTTTTCCAGTTGAAAAATACAAGTTGAAAAGTGCTGGACAGACAGCAACCTTCATCATTCCCTGTGAGTGATGTAGCAGAGAAACATGCCAGGCTGCTGTCATAGCCTTCTCATCTGCTCCTTTTTGTCAAGGTCTGGCCTTTTAGAAGGTTCTCCCGTGTGCTGGTACAGTCTGAACTTAGACCCTAGTTTGGTTTTCTCCCCCATGGATAAGAAAAGCAGCAGAAGCAGGACCTGCTGGTGGGAGTGGAGGATTGCTGCAGGGCAGGATTTCTATTGTCCCTTAGTTTAGTGCACTTTATCTCCATGTGTGCCTGGGCACATTGGATCTCAGTGTGTGTGAGCACCACTTTGGTCTCAACATGACTGAAGTAGCAAGCTTTTGTTTGGTGGTGTTACTTGGAATGGGAGCCACCACTCCTCAGAGCGTCGGAATTTGTGTGCTGCAGAACTGAGTGCCTCTATACACAGCACCCCAGCCCTCAGTCTGCCTGAAATCCTCTTTGTTTAATTTACATTAGCCACTGTTGTTCATATCCACATTAGGCTCCATTGTTTGCATACATGTCGAGCTCCTGGCTTTCAAGCAGAAAGCATTAAGTGGTCTCTCATGTGCTCCTGCAGAGTTTCTTCCAGACTGATTGGGCTTTTCTTTTCATTTCCCAGAAAAACCGCTATGAGATCTATGTTGGCCTGCTGAAAGAAGGGGTGAAGGAGCTGTTGAGCGGAGGAGAGAACGACGCACCAGGACTGAAGAAATCCCACTCAAGTCCTTCTTTGAATCAGGAGTCTCCAGTTAGTGCCAAGGTGAAACGCAATGTCTCAGAGAGGAAGGACTACAGGCCAGAAACACTCAGCATTAAGCAGAAGATTACTTAGGGTGGAAATGACAACTAGGGGAACAGCCATGCAGCAAAGTATTGGTGGTCAAAATTTTTTCATTTAATAACCTGTCATTCACAAAAAATAAGTGCATCTGCCTGAATGGGGTGTTAGTGACATTTTCTATTGTATATTTTGCTGTTTCTGTGCAGATTGTGGGAGATGTCTTTGCTCCTGCTTTGCTTTGCTTTGTTAATTTATCATTTAGCAATTGAAGCATCGGGACTTTTTTGTGTTATTCTGTTTCTAAAGGAGCTGGGGAAGGGATAGAGTGCTGTGACGTTTATTCTGTCTCCTCCCCATTTATCTCCTCCCATCGGCATGTGGCTTTCATCTCTCAAGTCACTTGTCACTTTATTTACGTGGTAGGTGGGAAAAATAACTGGACAAGTGCTGCAGTGCTGTGAATGTGAGCTGTAGCTGTGAGAAAAGCTGTGCAAACATGCGGCTGCAGAAGGCTAACTAGAGGCTAGGGTGCTGGGAACACTAGTTTCCTGACAATATGGGGCTTGTTGGTACTGGTACTTAGCAGCAGGTGGTACAGTAAATAGTCACTGTTGCTTCTTGTTACTGCATTGACCCTGGACACTTCACGAGTGTAAAGGAATGAAACCTGGAAACCTCTGGCAATGCTGAGATGACGGCATTGGAATAATTTGTTTGCTTCCTTCCAAGCAGAGAGCCTTCTCCTGAGTTTGCAGGCTGGAAGGCATCCAAACCCATGCTGTCTCTGCAGTCAGGAAGATTAAGGATTACCCAGTTGGAATGGCTATCTGGGCTTCACATTTATTTGCAGAGAAGGCTGCTGTAGATGTCAGCCATTAGCATTATATATTAATTATATATATTAAAGACAAAGGGCCTCTGTGTAGTTTTTAACTATACGCTCTCACTTAGCTGCTATATAGAGCCTTATGATATATTGTGTCCTGTTGCTTCCCCTTCAAGGGGTTTCCTTGTTGGTGTGCACAGAGAGCTGCTTTCAATTCCTCTCATAGTGACAAAGCACTTGGCCTTTTTTCTTCAGAATGGGATTCTCCTCAGTTCTCCATTTTCCTTCTTTAGCTGATATATAGGTGGAAGAGGCTGGTGCCTGCTCACAGTTCCTGCATACCCTGTACCAGGCTTTCCAAGGGGAGCACATGTCTGAGAGAGACCACCATGGGTAGGTCTTTCCATACCTGAAAGACCCCTGTTTGTGCCATAGACCTTTGGAGTGACCAGCAGTTTTCAGGCACAGACAACAGAAAGATGACATAGAAATAATTTTCCTGCTTCCTAGCCCCTCTTGTCTGGGCAGTGTCATGGCTCTGTTACTGAGTTTTAATCTCAGTTTTTGTACTGGCCCACAGGGTGAGCTTGGACAGGTCTCTTCCATTTGGTGTCAGCTTTTCTCTGTATGAAGTAGTACTACCAAACTGGCCTTTACCACAGAGCGCCTTGGGAGATAATGTTGAGGGCCAGTTGAAAATTGCTTCTTGCTGTTCATTCTGTTATGCCTGGCACAGGACAGCCTTCTTGTTGAATGCAATTCTTGATGCATAGAGAAATGTCAAGATCCATGCAAGGACTGTTTAGAAATGCTCTGGTGCTTTCAGCCCAAGTAGTCAAAGTGCCACACATCAAAAAAATTGCTGTCTGAGTGGATGTGTGTTCTGTCAGGCTTCCTAAGGGTCCAAGTCAATTAATCTAGTTTTATTGACCTGCCAGTCCAGTGAGCAGAACTAGTAGTGATTAAAGAGAAAAGGCCCTTAACAGGCACTGCATGACTTGCCTCCAGTACCAAGTACCACCAAAGCAGCAGCTTTTCTGGTGTTGTGCTGACTGTTGGCTGTAACCATGATGTTACACTCTCAAATGTGAAGTTTTGGGGCAAATTGATCCTTGCAGCTGCAGCCTGGCAGCAAAGCCAGATGAGACTGTTCTCACAAGTGATGTGCATCCGTCTGGCATCTGCCACTGAGAGTGGCCGCTCTGTGCTAAAAGTCAGGAGGTTGGCTCCTAACCTTGACAACGTTGCTAAAAGCTGCAGAGTCCTGAGAAATTGGCAGTGCTTCCTAAGTGCTGGGGTTTCAGAAGTTGTGCATTCTGACTGAGGTGGAGTTAACATTCAGTTCTCTTCTTGAAGATGAGAGGTGTCTTCTGCTGCTGCAGCCAACATTATGTGGTGCAGCTTATTGTGTGGGGAGACTCAGCTGAGATGCATGATTGTGCTCATTGGGAGGGATTGTTTGGAGTACTTAAGAGTGGTAGATCAACAGCTCATGGAGGGGAGATAAACACAGATCTCTGCAGCTGCTTGTCATGGTTTGGAGGTTGAAAAGGAACAAGCAGAACAGAGGAAGAAATTCAGTTGGGGAATGCTGAATGCACCTTTGGGAAGAAAACTTGACCTCTGTTATGATTAAGGAGTGGTATTTAGTGTTCTCACTGAGACTCTCAAACGATATGGCCCTTGATCACTCCCTCCTTCCCCTCCCCATCCTTGCAGTGGGCTGGAGAGGAGAATTAGAGGCATAAAAGGCAAAGATCACAGATTGAGGTAACAACAATTTACTGGAAAAGGCAATGAGATAAGAAAATGAATGGTAAACAGCAACAGTATTAAAACCAGAGTGTTCAAGAATGCTCACCACGCAGAACCCAACGATACCTAACCACTTGCTTCCCAATACCCCGACGTAGAAGGGGTATCTTCTCTGGTTCCTGGAAAATGACAGGAGGTGGTATGGAATAACCATCAAGACCAAGCCATGCTCCTGCTGGGCTACTGCATGAATTAACACCATCCTGGCCAGAACCAGTACATCATTACTTGAATTATTTTAAATACCAATAGGAATATGTGCAGCAGAAACAAAACCCAAAAAAGGTGCAGATATATAAATGGCCCTGCTTTGCTGTCAGGGTTGGTTTGAGTAGATGATCTTTTTAAAGGCAGGCTAGAACATGCTTGGCAAACCTCTTGTGTTTATGGAGTGCAATGCTTCAAAAGGCAAAGAGGTGACATTTAACTTTCTTCTTCTCTGGCTTTAAATGTATTTTCATTGCCGAAAATTCCAGCTAAATTGCTGAGCTCAAAAAGAAATTACTCCTGTTTTCCAGCTTTGACACAGAAACTGGGTAATTCCTCTTCAAAGTCATTGCAGAAAAGATGATTTGAAGCAATAGGAAAAATCAAAAAGTGAACTGCAAAAATACTGGTTTTTTTCATTATTTATTATCTATTTCCTTGTATGCTTGTAAACGGATAGGATTTTTTGGGGGGTCTCATCTGAGTGTATCAAATGCAATTTTTCCACTGCATTTTTTGGTCTTTAAACATTTGTTGAGCTTAGAGCAGTCTTGCTGAGACTGCTGAGGTGTGCAAGTCAGTTTATCCAGAATTTATAGTTTCTGCTACAGTTTTAATTAATGTCATTTTCCTTTGTTGCTTTACAATTTATAAGCATCCCAGGCTCCTGTGTAGAAATGCACACTTTGGAGAACAAGAAAAAAAATGTGATCCTGTTGCAAAAGTCTAAGACTTCTGCCCTCCCTTGCAAATAGGTTCATCTACCAGTCAGTACTGTAATTAATTTTTTTCCCTCCTGGTGACACTATAAAGGATAGGGCAGGTTCTCAGGTGGTTGGAGTGGTGCATTTCCTTGAATAGCACCATTACGAGTCTGACCAGGTAGCTAGCTTAGTGTGGTACCCTGCACCCTGCCTTTCTTTGCTGAAACATTTGCCTTTAGGGGAGATCAGTGCTTTACTGCAGCGACTCAGGAGCTCTGGTTGCAGCAAGTAAGGATATTCTGCTGGTTTCCAGCCTGCCTCTGGGACTTGAGCTGCAAATCACTGGAGCAGCCCGCAGTTTCCTGGGTGTGCTCCATGTAAGGAGTTACTGGCTGGCCGCCATGAGCATGTGTGCATGTGGGAGAGCCTTTGCATTGGTGATGCAGTGAGGTGTCATCCTTCCTTGTCACCCTCCCTGCTCTAGTGAGCTATCATTGCTCAGGCGAAGCCTCTGCCTGCATGTAGGGAGTGGGAATCCAAAGAGGGGAGCAGGCTAAGGCTGACACCTCCTTACTTCCCCTTTCTCAAGGTGCAGACAGTGGTTTTGGGAGGACCCACCTGGCTCTGAAGTGTTGCTGGCTTCTGGGGCTGAACTGCTATCCCCAACTAAAGAAGGAGAGACAGGAACAGGCCCCACTAGTCTGCACCTGACAGCAGAGGGCTGATGGAGAAGGGGAAAACTGCTTTCCCCTCTCCCCACCCAGCAACCAAAGCAGGTGAAATACTCTCTTGAAGCCAAAACCATACTCTCCTCTATGATTTAGCACGATGCAGGGGACTGTTTCAGATAGATTTTGTTCATCAGTGGCTGCAAAAGGGACTCCCTGGGCTAGCTGTGTGTTTGTCTGCATCTTGCAGATAAATTACCCATGAACCAGTGAACATGATTACAGCTTCTAAATCCAGTATTTATGTTGTGTCTTTAGTTGATGTAGAGAGATAAGTCATCCAGCAGAGTGATTAATGCATCAGAGTTTTGCAGGAGTGCTTTTCAGCTGTGTTGCCGACTCAGTTTTTCATCTGTAGCCAGTCACTTGTAAATGGTTACCAGAAACTTTCAAATATCTAGTAACAGCTCCTCACTAAAATACTTTCCCTCTGACCCTACCTGCTCCCAGGTTGCAGTCTGTGATCTGCACTGCCCTGCTTTGAGGGGGACTTTGTCCTAACAGACCTCCAGGGACTGGAATTGTTCAGTGACTTTTCACAGCTCCAGTGCCTTCAGATAACAAGGCTGGTTGCTCCTCTGGCTTGAAAAGGATCTTTTGCCTTTCTCCAATGGGGAAATGAGGTTCTTGCTTGACTAGAGTAGGCCATTCAGTGAAGATGTGGTTATGGCAGTGGAAGAAGTCAGAGATGACAGGTTTATCATCAGGCTACTCGGAGGCATTGTATGGCAGTGTTCTTCTTGAAAATTGAAAGGCTTTTTTCTGCAGATGGCTTACTGCTTACTGTGTCTGCATTCTCCATTTTTAAATGAATTTTGGTCTTATTGCAGTTAGTCTGACAGCTCCTCCTCCTTTTCTGACAAGCTGCTCTTGTCTGTCATCTTAGCACCTCAGCTGCTTCTGTATAACAGGTCTGTTTCCTTCCATGCTTGCAGAAATTCAGAAAATTTGACTCTCCCATCTTGGATTGAGAAAATCTTCTCTGAAGCAGTGCTGCATTGAATGGCCCTGTGAACAGCTTTTTCACTCTGCTTGTCGGTAGCCTGAGTTTCCAGCCACAGTTATAGCTGGGAGGTGTGAGACCGAATTTTAGACTGCTGTGATCCTCTAGTTGTATGCTGCAGAGATGCAAAGTGCCCCTTCCCACACTTAGACCAGATACTTGCAACATTCCTACTCTTCTAGTACCCAGGTTGTTGGAAACACTGGCTGCTTCTGCAGGTTCAAAGGCAGTATACACATCTGATGCCAAGCAATTTTAAACAATCTGCTGCTTGTTTAAATTTTCTCCAGTATTGCTCTCCCCAGGCTCTGGGACATCACATCTGCTCTGAGGGGCCAGTTAAGAAGTTCACATTTCTTGTCTGTGCACTATCATTGGTCACCAGCATGTGTTCTCAGCATCTGGTATCTAGGCTTCCTAGAGGGATGAACCATAGAAGCTGTCTCAGAAAAAGCTAGTGTGCAGCTTGTGCTTTTTAAAGGATATTTTTAGTGCATATAGAAGCAGTATGTCTAGCCTCTCCTCTCTCCCATCAAGAGCATAGGTGTAGAATAGTGGATTGCTTCACCTGGAGCTTCACTGTGGAGACCTGAGCTCCAGAAGAAGAGGCTTTGTCAGCCTTTAGAGAAATGCCACCACCTGAGCTGAGCATCAATGCACAGGACAATGATGATACTGTCTGAAAAAGCCAGTGCCACCCTCCGTGGCTGGTCACCTGCTGGAGACTGTGAGCTCTAGCACAGCCCTTGGTGTTGGAGGTAATGAGAAATGCTGGTTTTCTTTTCCCTCTAATCTGTGCTGCTTGAGGAGCTGTCTTTAGCACTTGCTGCTTTTCTCCCTTGTGACAGCAGTTCCCTTATCCAGGGTTACCACAGTCCCTTTGTGAGAAGACTGGTTTAAATGAGAGGAGAGAGGAGAGGTCCTTGGAAACAGTCTGGATGCCATCTGGGAGTATCTGCTCTGCTGATGGCAACATATAGTGGAACATTGAAAGGAAGCAGGCGCAGCCTTGCCTGAGAGAATGGCCCTTGCTCCAATATTTTATTAGCTGAATTAAGGTTGGGTTTTAATTATTTATTAGAGCCCACCCCTTACCAAATGCAAGCAAGAAACTTTCATAAAGGTTGGACCATTGACCTGACCTTGCCCTTGTGGTCAGAAGGAGCAAATTTAGGCTAGTCCAAGGCATTCTCTCTTGCCTGCCTTTGAACACTTAATTATTCCATAAAAGTTACAGATGTTTAATCAGTGAGGGACCTCCCATGGCATCTGCTTTTAAAGCGAGCCAGGAACCAGCTGGGGTACAGGCCAGAGGTTTATTTGGACCAATAAAGGTACATCACTTAGCAATACAAGCATTGAAAGTGCAGCAGACCACAAGGGCAGGATTTTTCTCTGACGTAAACAATTGTAATTGGTAGCCACTCTAGCAGTGATCCTGTCTGTAACTCACCTAAATGAGACTAGCACAAGAAGATAATTTTTGTCTAAACAGGCAAAGTTTCATCTTGGGCCAGTTGAGTATCATGGTGTAGTGACAGAGCAACTAGCTAAGCTGCCGTGAAGACTTGTTTGACACAAAATCCTCCAACTCCTCTTAGCCTCTTGCTGGGAAGAGGGAGATAAATGCAGTTGAGTCTATGTCACCACACAGGGCAAATTCTGCTGGTAATATAAGTCTTAACTCACACACTTATGAAAATCTCATACTCAGAGCTGTCAGATTCTGAAAGACTGTAGGATGAGAACAAGGGTGGGTTGTGGTTGGGTTTTTTTAAAAATTTGTACATATTCATAACAACTGTGTCCTCTTACTTGAGTCTAGAATTATAATTTGGCTAAAAGGACAGAGTTTTTTGGCTGTTGAAAAACTTTGAAATGACTCCTCTGTGTGAGGTACACACTGAGACTTACATTACTTGGTGAACATGTTTAAGTGATGCCTATAGATGTGTGTATTTCCTAAGTATAGTATGGCTTCTGTGGCTCAGCAGTACAGAAACTGCTGTTCTTTTCTGAGGCTTGCTTGGTCAAAGCACTTCAGCAGCTGCAAACATTGTTAGGATGCTTGTTCTAATTGCTCTCAAATGAGGTTAAACAGCTAACAGAGCTTTTGCAGATTTAAGGTATACTCTGAGCTGCCTTGATCTTCATGTGTTGTCCACCAGGGGCTGCCTGTTTTGCATGTTGAAAGCAAGGTATTTGAGAGTCTAAGCAAGAGCTCGTGGGTGGAATTTTCTGCTAGTTTAACACTGGGCTGACTTTCTCCCTGTCTGTATCAACTGATGCCTGTACAAGGAGCATCCATGCTGACTTCTTCTGAAAATCATGCTCTGGGGATCTAATACACAGCTTTACTTCTGAAAATGTTGACCTTGTTCTGTGAAAATTCAGCAAAGGGACATGATGTGCAAAGTGTCCAAGAAGGACAGGTGCCTGTGATGTCTCCTACAGATACAGCTGTACAGCAGTAGTGAGGGTTTTTTTTTTCCTACAGCTGTTCAAATTTCTAGAGGAGTGGCTCATCAGTAGGGAAGAGAAGAGCAGCAGGGCTGAAATATCTGTCTTGGGCATCTCTTATGCCTTCCAGAGGTTTCTTCTGAGAACATTGAACAACCTTTTAACAAGTTTCTGGTCTGAGGAAAAACGATGTAGGGAATCCTGGTGAGTTTTACTATTGCATTCTAGCTATTGCATTCTAGTAAGGACAATAAGAGCATGATCTGCATTATTCTTAGAAAGAGAGAGCAAAAGCTGAGGGTGTGATTTGTACCTGGAGTTTTTATCATGCAGTTAGGTTGAAGCACTTGAGCAACTTCAGTAGTGAAGCCTTTGCACTTCTGTGGATCACAGCCAGAGTGATTGCGCCTTGCAGAACTGAGATGGGAATGAACTGCAGCTCAGAATTAAATTAAGGAGACCACCCTGTCACTTTGCTCTGGGCAACCTGTAGTCCTGTAATTTTTATTTAGGTACTGGGCTTCTTCCTTGGGTTTCCTGCCCTCCATGGTGATGGGAATATGTGGGTGAGCACTGTCAGTTTCAGAGTTGTGGTTAAGAAATGTCATTTACCCTCCACCTGAGCTGTTGCTTTATTGTTTTCCCTTAGGCTGAGAAAGAGGACTGAATTTTTAGTCAATGTTGTTTGGTAGCCAATGGGAAGCGTAACTCTCAGCAGTGGTGATGCAGAAAAACATTTTGCACATGCGTGTACATACACCTTATACATCTCTTGTGTGCAGAACTAACCTTACAGGACCTGACAATGGTCCTTGCAAGACCTTTCCTCTGGGTGGTCTTCAGTTGCTTCTGTGATGTGTAGGAACTTCCTTTCTGGCAACCTTGCATTCAGTTTACTCTAATCACTGAATTGCTGGAGTGTTTTTCATGTAATACACTAGAGACAGTCTCAGTCTCACCGCTTTGTGGTAACTTCTTGGTCTGCTGTGAAGCAACAACATTGAGGTAGCCGTTAAATCTTTTCCAGCAGCATGGAACTTGCTGTTCTGACTCTTGGGGAGGTCATAATCTCAGGTTTGACACCATCCTACCATCAGGACACCGTGTTTTGTCCCTGGGAATAGGCATGGCCAGAAAAGCATACTAGGTGGATGGAGTCAGAGCTGTGCAGACTTAAGTCAAGCCCTGGTTCAGGGAAGATTTTTCCATGTGCTGCTGATGTCCATAAGGACTCAAACATATACTTGCTTACACAGAGATGCTTTCCTGAAGCAGAGTTGTCACTCTTTTCTACAGGTATCACAGGATGCCCTCCCTTATTCTGCTTCATGTATCTGGTACTAGAATGATCATTTCCTGATAAATGAAGGCACTTAATCAGTCCTCTTCCCCTTGGAAGAAGGACTTTTGGGGATATTGTTATATCATTTAAAATAATATTTTGGAATTTAAGTTTACATTGCTTTATTTTTCACTTGAGGTGACTGTATATAAATATTTTCTTCTATTTTATCATTGCTGATAAAGTAAGCCTACAGTATACAGACAAATAATTTGCCTTTGATGTATTGAAACTGTGAGATATAAAGTAGATTTCTCTCTTGTGTCCATGTTCCTGACTATAACTCTGTTCCTCTGTGTTTTTATAAGTTGGAATAAATGTTGCTTACGGGCAACAAAGAGCCTGCAAGCTTCCCAATAATTTTTGTCATTGAACTCAAGCAACCCTGTTGAAGGATCTCACATATGTATAATGATATATGTATATGTACAAACTTTAGAAAGAAATAAACCAAATGTATTTCAAGTTCTGCAGCTGAATGTTTTTTATTTGAACCCTGACAGTTGCTCCTGCAAATAAGAACAGAAAAAAGGTGGCTTTACAGTGGCTGACTGTCCTGTTTCTGACTCCTGGCAGTCATTAGTTTCAAGGTTTCCTGAGCTGAAGCATATGTGTACTTTGTGCATTACAGTCTGGATCTGACCTGCAGTTGGGGTAACCAATGGAGCCAGTGGCAATTTGTGCACATTAGTGCTGTGTGAGGGCAGCTGGAGCACATTTCTCTCTCTTCTGCACCTGTACAAGAGGTGGCATCCCTTCCAGCTTTGTAGCCAGCTTGCTGTGAAGAGGCAGCAGGAGAATTAATTGATTAAAAATGTGTTTACCAGCATGTGGATTAGAGGAGTGAAGCTGCAGCAAACAGCTGTTCAGAAATGATTGGGAGTTGATCTCAACATTTATATGAGGAGGTCATTGTTGAGTTTGGGAATTGCTGCTGACATGGCACATGGGAAGAAAGGGCCCCTGAAAGGCCAAAGAGTCAGACACTGAAAAAAAAAGATGGAGTGTAAAAAGGCAGAGGTGGGAGTGGTGAAGAAACTATGCCTATTCAAAGTAAAGAGAAACACTCTACAACACACAGCAAACAGTGTTATCCTTGCAGTTCTTGTGTTGGACATAACTCAACATGGGAAGTTAGTCTGCTGTGTGGAGAGGGGGTCACAGGGCAGATGGAGAGGATGTGTCCAACACAGGTGGGGCATGCCCAAATTTACAATAGGATGTGCCCAACGCAGGTGGGGCATGCCCGAGATTTAAAACAGAGGATGTGTCCAACACAGGTGGGGCATGACTAAAATTTACGACAGGGCTAGCAGCTTGTACTTGGAACAATAATAAGGAAGACGTTTCTTAACCAAGATTTCTGTGAATGTTTGACAACCTTGAGGTGACTGTTTCTTTATATTTTTCCTCAGGATGTTGCCTTTAGATAAATGGTAAGACTTTCACACTTGAGATAGCTCTGTGTGTTTGTTTGTTTGTTTGTTGATTGATTTTTCCACACTATGCCTTGGGGTATCAGATTTTTCACTGTTGTACCATCCTGGCTGCTTCAAAGCCCTTGGGATTTTTTTCTTCCAATGCAGGCTTCTGGATTAGTATGTTTTTAATGAAAAGACTAAACAAAGTGGTAGTAAGGATGGGTGGGAGTATTTTACAAAGATGTATTAAATGCCTCCTCTAAGCCCAAATGAATGTTTTAACTGTGTCTGAATGTTAATGTCAGTACTGCTCACCACATCTTTTCTTATTGTTTCTTCCTAGCTGACAGCATCAACGCTGAGCATTTGCTGGTGGTTTTTCTACCTGGAATCATTAGTCACATCACGTTTCTCACAATGCAGTGAGCTAGAACAAAATGACAGAACAGGTGCAAACTGAAAGACAAATGCATTTATATTCTCTTTATTGTCCGTTTTCAGTTCAAGTTTCCAAGTACAGAATATAATTGCCAAGGAAGACTGAAAAGGCTAGTTTGTGTATGCAGGAGAAACCTCCACAGTCTACAGCTGCTACACATTTTTTTGGGTATTTATGAATAATGTAACATGAGAATGAGATTTAGTCCAAAGTTTGGTCTGAAATTGTCATGATTATCTCTAGATTGGAAATGAGAAGACAGTTCCTACCCATCAGAGCACTGATGTACTGCAGTGGCCTCCTAATCTACAAGGTAAGGGCAAAAATACCCAGTGGCTTTTAAGATAGAGCTGGAACAGAAATCACATAGTGATAACCCAGGTTTTCATTTTTTAGGTCATTGCACATTGCATTGGTTTCTTTCCATGTTTGCTACTAAATTGATATTTCTTAAATGATGTTTAGCCACATGGTTTGGTTGGTTTAGCCAAATTATAGTTAGGCACTATGCTAGCTATTTCTCCCAGAAAAAGGGCCATCCTAGAAAGCATGAATTGCTGCAGAAGAGCTATCTACCTTGCCAGATTTTCTGTGTCGTCGTCACATTCTTTTTAGGACATTTTTTCTGGTGCCATTCCACAGCTAGCTTTTGGATGGATCAGCATGTAAATGATACAGTTTTTTTGTTTTGATGGCTTGCTCCTCGCATTAAGATGCAAAGTCTAGGAGCTAAACTGGGATCAGATGAAGGAATCACGACTAAGTAGTATCATTTGCCTTGGAGAATGTGGAGCTAATATGTTGCTGTTATCAACTGGAAGTTTGTGGGGTTGTTTTTGTCCCCACTTCCCAGGCAGGGTGTAACAAAAGGCCAAGTTTGACCAAAAATAACCTTGGGAAGTTCAGACTTTGGAACTGGTTTTGTTGAATTTGGCCAGTGAGGATGAATTAACAAGGGGTGTGTCTTAGGGAGGAACCTGGTCAGAGGAGGGGAAGCACAAGAGTGGCAAAAATCTTGTTCCAGGAAATAGAAACAGTAGTGAATAAAGCAAAAAAATAAGATAAAGAACAAAAGGAGAGGGAACCTTCTGAAAGGATGAGTGTAGGTGCCTACAGATGCATTGCTGATATGCAGCCTGATCTGCCCTTCAGGAGGACTGTGTCTGAAAAACTTGATTTGAGAGGGTAGGCTTCAGAGGGGTAGATTTCCATTGTGGTCATATGTCATATAATGAGGTAAAATGATGGTTTTGTAAGTTCATAGTTGATGTATGTTATTCATAAGATCTAAGAGTGTGAAATAAGCACTTTTTGTAATTGTGTGTAATAGGGTGGAAAATAATATAATTGCAGATTAGCAGTAGTGGTGTGTTTGTTTGATAATCGGGATATTGATTACTTAATAGATTGACCAGTTCCTTAGGAGTGTGTCACTTAATCACTAAAGCCTGTAATTTTGTTATAGCACTTACATCTTGACCTTGCAATCTAAACAGAGGGGGGTTCTTTCTTTATTTGGTTTCCCTTTCATTGAGGGAAAGTACATTTCCTACCTAGTCTTAACTTGCTTCAGCCACAACACACTGACCATTGCAAGGACACTTGTAGTAATGTTTGTCAATATTTGAATTATGCCAATGACCACAAACCACAAGCTAAATGAGTCTCAACAATGCAAACAGCATAGAAATGGCATATTGGGAAAGAGAGGTCTGTGAGTTAAAATCTCAGGGAAAGATTTTCATAGTGTACAAGCACTATTTCCTCAGCTAACATTGCTTGTTTGCATGTGTAAAGGTACTGAAGGACCTTTATCTTTATGATGCACAGTCTTAAATGTAGGAGAAATGTGCAGATGGTAGAAGAGAGCAGAAAATCTGCGGAAGAGAGCAGAATATAGCATCAAAGACTGAAAACTCTGTGGAAAAGAAGATTGCAAGGAGGGTTTGCTGAAAGGGAGAGGACTTGTTTGAAAGGCAGACGTAAAGACAAAAACTGAACAAGACTATAAAGAAAAAGCATGGGAGGCAACTGAACAGTACACAAATTCATTTACACTTGTAAAAGACAATCCATTAATAGGAAAGGACCAGCTGCTTGTGAAGGCTGCCTAACCACTCCCTTTACCAGAGTGCTCTTGGGTGAAAAGTTCTTATTCCCCCATTGCTGGCAGAGGCATTTTGAATACTGTCAGGGCTTGCTATAGTGTCGAAAGCATGCTCTGCACTGGCCTTCAGGGGTAATTCTCAGTTAGCCAAGGTAGATATTCCTTCCTGCACCTGGTAGCTTGGAAGACAGCAGCATCCCTGGGGCTGCACACTGTCTGCTGGATGGGGCGTGTTTTTGCAGAAAGGACAGAAAGAAAACCCAAAACGCTGCTGAAGCTTGTTTTCCATCATCACTATACTAAGATTGTTCAAAATAAGTGTTCAAGGGGGTGGATATGGTTTGCTTTCTTCCTCTCTGAGAAAATGTTTTTTGTTCAGCCAGAAATCATCTTTCTACTCTACCTCGCTCAGAAGTGCAGTGTAGGTATGCCACATCAATTCTTTGGAAGGTGAATATTTTTAGTGAGCTTGGGCAACCCTCTCCTCTGCCCAAATGTCTGGCGTAAAAAAAAGTACACTTCTTCTTTTCAGGGTAATTCCAGTCAGGACTTGTAAACCAAGATGTGTTGAACACTTGCTGTGAGTGTAGTCTTTGGCACAGACATGTGCCGTGTCATTTGAGAAGAAATTATTTTGATCAAGGAAGTGGCAGGGATGCTGCTGTGAGGGTGGGTGTGGAAAATGCTCCTGTCCAGTCAGAAGTGCATGTGTGATACTCAGCTCTTGGTGTGCTCTGCTTCCTGTTCCATCCCATGCTGGGCTGAGCTGTGCTGAGCACCCTGTAAGTACAAGTACTGAGACAGGGCTGGATGGAGCCAGTGCCATCAGCAGCATAATTACCTGAGTAATAAAGACATTAGAGATGCTCACCCTGGCGGAAATTTGCAGTGGTCTGTGCCTGGGACAGGAATATTTTCCATGTCTAGCTGCTGGGACAGTTTTGTGGGGGCCTTGCAGCCTGCCAATGATAGCAGGAATGGTGTAAAACCCGAGTCCTGTTACCACAGCCGTACCCACGCTGCGTTTCTCAGGCAACTGCAGTGTGGGCGGCAGTCAGAGGTTGTAATTGTTTGATGGGGGAAAGAAAGCCCATATACATACACACGCAGAATTAAAAAATGAAGCGCTCTTTCCTTTTAGCTGCAATTTCTGACTGCACTTTGGACAAATTGTCAGAATCCGCATTCCCACTGGCAGGGAGCCAGGCTCCCTGGCACGCTGATTAAACGGTGTGTGGGCAAAATGTAGGCAGATGATGGGGACTTGGTACATTGAAACCTTACAGAGCTGTGTTTTCCTTTTCTGCTGCTTTCTTTCTCTCTCCAAACTCCTTTCAGGCTAGTCTTTTGGCCATCCTTCACTAGATCTTTCTGGGGTCTGAAAATCCAACTTTGGGAGCTGAGAAGAGGCGTGAAGCCACAGAGGTAGCTGCTCAAGGTACATAATAATCCCCAGGTGCTTGTTCCCTTGCAGGTGAGTACATAACCCTCTGAATGCTGTGAAGG